CTCTTCCCAGGACACACAGGAAACCTTTCCTTCTCACCTGGGTACTGCAGCTCCTCCTGACAGCCGGGTCTGGGTCTCTGTCCCTGAAAACAGACGCCAGGCTGGTGCCACTCTGAGGTGGACATCAGGCCCCCTACCTTCATCACTCAGCTGACCCCTTTCTCTCCTCCAGAGACAGTGTGTCCTTCCTGCGGAGAGTAAATGCAATCTTCTCAGATATTTGAAAACAACAGGAAGACCCTGAGCATCCAGCTGGGTTTCTGTCTCACAGGAACAATTACCAGCAAAATCTGGAAACCCCTGGGTCTGTGTGTGGTGCTGAGACCCCAGAGCAAAACACAGCAAAGGCCAACACTGGGGTGGGTGGGGCAGTCAAACCAGTGTTCTGGGGTCTCAGGCAGGCTGGGCAAGCGTGTGACCTGCGCATCTGCTAAAACAGCATTTCTAAGGTGTCACCTGGGGGTTCACAGTCTTCATGAAGCTCCACAGGAGTTTCCCGCTTACCATGGAGATGACGTCCCTGTGACAAGAGTTCCTCAGGCACCTGCCCCCCCCACCCCCAGGCTCCTGCTCTGAAGGGAAAAGTCAGAAGGGGATGACAGAGGGCAGCTGGGGAGGCTGAGTGTGCATCTGATCCACAGCAGTGCAGACCCTGGACTCGGACCCCCCAAGGTTGTGGTTTTCCAGATAAGGTATGTGTATGTATAGGTGTGTATATGTAGGTGTGTGTGTAGGTATGTGTGTGTAGGTATGTAGGGGAGTGTAGGGGTGTCTGTAGATGTGTGTGTGGGGGGTGGGTGGGATGGGTGGGTGGAGAATCACTGCTCTAGAAGGCAGAGGACTCAGCAGAGCTCAGGGAATAGAAACAGACAGAGGGGAAGGGGGCGGGGCCACTAGGGAGGGAAGGATGAGCGGGGAGGCAGTGGGAGGGGCCTGGGCAGAGGCCCCGCCCCGGGCCACGTGACCCAGCCAAGTGCTCCTGCCCAGGGAGGAGGCCCAGCGCACAGCGGGAAGGACAGCAGAGCTCACACAGCGACTGCAGGGCCTGTGAGCGTTTCTGGACCGGAAGTTCTCCTCACAGAGAGAGGGGCCAGCAGAGAGCAGGCCCCATGGAGCCCCCGTCAGGCCCTGCAAGCAGGAGGCATGTCCCCTGGAACAGGCTCCTCCTGGCAGGTGAGAGGGGACAGTTTTCAGGGAGAGGGCAGAGACTGGAGAACAAGAGACTGGCTGGTCTCTGGGGGAGGCGGGGCTCTGAGAGGGGGCAGAGGACTTCTGTTCAGGCCTGAGGGCAGAGGGCGGGGAGCAGGGGAGGCGGGGGCTCAGCCACAGGGGACTCTCCATGAACTAGAGTCAGTGAGGGGCGGGAAGACCTCAAATGGTGGTGGTTTTGTGAGTTATTCTTCACTGAGCAGTAATTGTTGAAAACTGATGACAATAATAACATTTTATTGTGTCACCACAGAAAAAGACATAACCAAGACAGCAAACATGGTTCTTACCCGGCACCCTTAGAAACTGACAAACACCAGGCTGTGGGATTCCTGGGAACACTCCTTCCTTCATCCCCAGCTATTAATACCTGGAGCCTGGCCCAGGCACTGGGGTGTAACCAGGATCAGACAAGCCCCTGCCCTCACGGAGCCCACGCTCTGTGGGGAGGAAGACAGACAAGCAGAGAGATCTAGAATGTGCTGACAGGCGCTGACAGGCGTCATGCAGGAACCAGACAGGGAAGGGTCAGCAAGTGAACACGGAGGGTCTTCACAGCAGCCGTTCGTTGTGGGGGGACAGCTCCCAAGAGGCCCCTGAGTGAGAGCAGGCGTGTGAGGGCAGCGAGGGAGTGAGCCGGGGGACAGCTGGGGAAACAGAGGAAATACAGAGCCCAGAGGGGCTGAAGTGATGGGGGTCATGCTGCTGACCTTGAACCAGGAGGACACATATATACACATACACACAAACACATACACACGCACGCATGCACACACACACATACACACACAGACACATACACACAAATATACACAGACACAGACACAGATACACATACACACAGACACATATACACACACAGACACACAAACACATACACACACGCGCATGCACACACACATATACACACACAGACACACACACATACATATACCCAGATACACGTACACACATGCAAACACATGCACACACATACACACACACACCAAGGCTGAGGGATGAAGAGAACTGCTCAGGACCCAGGGCACCATTCCAATCGCAACACACAGCTTCAGAACATTAACTGATTTCTCTCTCTTCCCTCCTAGTCTCACTCTTAACCTTCGGGACCCCGCCCACCACTGCCCAGCTCACTATTGAAGTGGTGCCCCCCCTTGCTGCAGAAGGGACAGACGTTCTTCTACTTGCCCACAACGTGACAGAGAATTCTCTAGGCTATTCCTGGTACAGAGGAGAAAGGGTAGAACTCAGCCAGCTAATTGCATCATATAGAGCAGACACTAATGTAGCTACCAATGGGTCTGTACACAGCGGTCGGGAGACACTTTACCCCAATGGAACCCTGCTGATCCAGCACGTCACCCAGAAAGACACAGGATCCTACACCCTGCTTATTTTAAAGAATGATTTACAGACAGAAAGACAGACTGGACACCTCCACGTACACCGTGAGTACTTCCTCTCTGACCTCAGGGTCTTGTGGAGGGGTGAATTCTGTTCTGACAGACCCGGATGGTGCTTTCATCCCCCTCTGCATTATTTCTCGTGTTGGGGTTTGAACATTCAGTGCAGGACACACACAGTGAAGACAAACTCCAAAGGGTGAGAAATGCTTTCCTGGAGACACTGTGTAGAAAGAAGGATGGTCTGATGGAGGAACTCAGCAGAGGGAGAGCACTCTCAGTTCAGCGCCCTGGGTCCCTCCCTGCAACCATGACCCTGAGGAAAACCCTGCAGGACTCAGGGAAGACCCTGGCCTGAGGGCCCCCAGGGATCCTCACAGACAAGCTCAGTCCCAGGAAGCCCCTCCCAGACTCTGTCCCAGGGCTCCTGCCTCCAGTGACACCGGGAAGCCTGCGCCAAATCCCTAGGCTCCTGAGCTGAGCACCAGCCAGGGCTCAGCCCCAAGAGCCACCTGTGCGCAGGGGCACAGCCTGGTCCTGCTCCTGAGACTCAGCATGGAGATCACACAGGCACAAGGTCCCCAGGAATCAGCCAGATGCCCTGGGGGACTTGGAGACTCCAGAGAAATCTCCGCAACCCCAGAGAGGAACGGAGGAAGGAAGACACTCCTGGTAGCTCCTCGTCCCCCAGGATGCAGCCGAGGGAGCTCTCTCCCGAGGCTGGTTTATGAAAACCAGGAGAGATGCTAGGTGGTCTCTGAATCCCACCCAGTTCTGTCCACCACTAAACGCTGCTGCACAATCAACCCCCGAGGAAGTCTGTGCTTCTCCCAGACATAGAGCAGCAGGTGGCCTCACACTCTCTGAGCTCAGATCGCCATGCATTTGTCTTGCCATACACAAACCTGCCTTATTCTTTAAGACTCTGTCTGGCTGAGAGGTGAAGGATGCCAGTTTTGTTTAAAGATGCTTTTAGAGGAGCAAAAGGTGTAAAGAAAGTGAGAGTGTTAGTCGTTCAATCATGTCCGACTCTTTCCTACCCAGTGGACTGTAGCCCACCAGCCTCCTCTATCCATGGAATTCTCCAGGCAAGAATATGGACTGGGTGGCAATTTCCACCTCCAGGGGATCTTTCTGACCCAGGGATTGAACCCAGGTCTCCTGCACTGGCAGGCAGATTCTCTACTGTCTGAGCCACCAGAGAAACTCAGGGGTTTGTACTCTCTGTTATTTCCGCTGTGGTGCTACCCACACCTGTCATCACCAGCAATAACTCCAATCCCTGGGAGCACAAGAATACTATGGTGTTAACATGTGGACCTGAGACTCAGAACACCTCCTACATGTGGTAGATCAACACTCAGAGCCTCTCCAGCAGCACCAGGCTGGAGCTGTGTGAGGACAGCAGGACTCTCACTGTGGTCACTATGACAAGGAATGACACAGGACCCTATGTGTGTGAAGCCCGGAACCCAGTGAGTGTCCGCCGCAGTGACCCATTCACCCTGAAGGTCCTCTGTGCTTGTGTGGTCCAGGCTGACTGGCTGAATCTACAGTGCCAGAGGCCAGGCCGTACCCATCCCTCTCAGGTCCGAGTACATGGGCCGTCACCCCTGGACACCCAGAATGGACATGACTTCCTGTCCCAGGCAAGTCCAGGCAGGTCCACCTTGTATCAAGACACGGAAGGGATGGGCTGCTCTCTCTTGGTGCCTGAGGATCACCAGAATATGATGGGAGAAACAAATTAATATTTCAGGCTCACAATGAGTGAGCATGAAGGGTAATGATTGCAAAATTTTCAGACAAGTGTGTGAACAGCTAGAAAGACCCAGGGGCCCTAAAAAGACCAGGAACTTCCCTTCCCTCTGATTGCACCATGTGTGGCTTTATGCTCTTTTGCTCCAAATGATGTGGATGCCCCACCACTTCCCCCTTAGATTCCTCTTACCATCCAGAGGGAAACCTCAATCTTTTCTGCCACACAGCCTCTAACCCAGCCACACATTGCTCCCGGCTTGTCAATGTGACGCCCCAGTAATACACCCAGATTGTCTTTATTCCCAGTCATAACATGTACTCTCAGATCCTACACTCCCTGACTGGCCTGGATAGCCCCACAGTCAGAAAATCAAGGTTCCCAAGGCTGATACCGCAGAGCTGTCCAATATTAGAGTGTTGTCCCAGCAACCAGGCAAGGGTCCCCCTGGTATGATCTGGGGGTCAGAGGAGATGTGCGATCATCTCTTTCCTGTTGTCACCTGAACAAAGACCGAGGGCCTTCCTTACAGGCGCCTGTACAGAGGTCACTGGGCCCCGAGACTGAGGACAGAGCATGGCCCAGGCCCCTGACCCACTCTCAGCAGTCACCCCTCTGTCTCTCCACAGACCCAGTGGCACGGCCCTCCCTCCAAGCCAGCAACACCACAGTCACAGAACATGAGGGTCCCGTGGTCCTGACCTGCCTCACAGATGAGACTGGGGTCTCCATACGCTGGTTCTTCAAAGGCCAGAGTCTCCTCCTCACAAGGGGGATGACACTGTCCCTGGACAATAGCACCCTCACCATAGACCCCGTCAGCAGAAAGGACGCCGGGGATTATCAGTGTGAGGTCTCCAACAGGGCCAACTCCAGAAAAAGTGACCCGCACAGACTGAGTGTGACCTGTGAGTAACCATCATTGCCTCCTGTGTTAGTCGTTCAGTGGTGTCCAACTCTTTGACACCACAGACTGTAGCTCACTAGGATACTTTGTCCATGGGATTTCCCAGGAATGAATCCTGAGGTGGGTTGCCATTCACTACTCCAAGGGATCGTCCTGACCCAAGGATCGAACTGTGTCTACTGCACTGCAGGCAGTGTTTTCCATATAAGCCACCAGTGAAGACCATTTTAACCTGGAAAAACTTCCTTTATTAATTCCACCAGGAATTAGCCTATCATCTCATTTCCTTCACTTCAAGCAGTTGGAATGTGTGCTCTCTCTCCCCTCCTCACCCCTGATTTCTCCTGGCCCTCTGCTGTGAAGCTTTGTTTCCCAGGCCGCTGGAAGCAGCACTAAAACCAGTACCTGGGACTTCCTGGGCAGTCCAGTGGTTAAGACTCCACCTTCTACTGCAGGGGTTGCCTTGACCTCCTCCAGGGGATCTTCCCCACCCAGGGACTGAATCCGTGTCTCTTGTTGGTCAGGCGGGTTCTTTACCACTAGTGCCACCTGGGAAGCCCCAGTGAGTCATGAAGCCTAAATCTCCTTTTTCTTGTGTGTACAATGGTGTTTATGAGGCACTTTGTAGAGCTTTGTGAATACGCGCTCCAGTGAAGGTGGAAATCACAGCAGACGTGTCTTCAGGCAGTAAGTGTTCAGGATGTTGGTTGGCACTGTTGTGATTACAGGCTTGCTGTCACATTCAACTCCAGGTCCCTCCACTTGTCTTTCTTAGTTGCACCGTCGTCTCTACAGTGGAAGCAACACCATTTCCTCACAGGATGGGCGGTGGTCATGTGTGCTGAGAGATGGGGGCCTTGAGGACTGTGATTTGCGAAACGTAAACTCCCATGATTCTGTGTTGCCTGTGGTCGGTTAGGTCTCTGCTTACAGTGCTTTCATGTTCTCTAGTTTCTCACTGAAATTCTCTCGGATGCTGTGTCCATTATTGAAAGTGGGGTGTTGTAGTGTCACTGTTATGGCAGAGCTATTTCTCCCCTCGATGATGCCCATTTTTGATTCACAATTCTGGTGGTGTTAGGTGCATAATGCTTATGATTTTTTTATTTCCTTGATGGATGGAAACTCTTCTTGATATGTAAGGTCCTACTTTGTCCCTTGTAGGCTTTTTAGATTTAGAGATGATTATGTCAGACACTCATACAGCCACCACGATTCTCTTTTTTTGACTATTTGCATAGAATATCTTTTTCCAACCTTACTTCAACCTTCTATGTCTTTGTATCTGAAGTGTGTCTCTTGAAGGGAGTAAAGAGAGGGTTATAATTTTAATCCATTCGGTCAATCTCTGCCTTTAATTTGAAGGTTGAGCCTGTCTATCATTCAAATACTTCCTGATAAGAAAGAGCTTCTGCCATCTAGCTACTTGCCATATGTCCTACATGCTTTATTCATTATTTCCTCTATTAGTTACTGTTTGATATTTAGGTGATTTCCTTTCATATGTGTCATTTTGATTCTGTTCTTCCACTTTCCAATATATTCCAGTTCTTTTCTTAGTGCCTAACTTGAAGATGACAGTTACATCTTACACATATATCTATCGAGTTGACATACCAACTAGATTCTATGATGTATAATACAATGTGCTCCTACACATCTCCATTCCCCCCATTCTATGCACTTACTGTCATATATTTCAGCCATCCGTATACAATGTATGCCGTTTATATAGATTTATAAATATCGTTTCATGCAATATCTTTGAAATAAAAAACAAGAACAAGCGATTACATAAAAGACAATAATACTGGCTTAAGTAAGATAGCCACCTACTGTCTCACTGTGACCACTGTTCTTCATGTATTCCTATGGGTCTGCGTTACTGTGTAATGTTTCTTCAGTCATCTTAAAGGATTCCTTTTACATTTCATATATGCCATGTCTCCAAAGAATAAACTCCCTCGACTGTTGTTTATGTGGGAAAGTCCTACTTTAAGCTTCACTGAAGAAGAGTTTGTCTGTACATTGCTTTCCTGGTTGACAGTCCTCCTTTGTACGACTTAAATCAGGCATCTCAATACCTTCTGACCCTGGCCTCTGATGTGAAATTTGCTTTTCACCTTATTGAAGATCCACTGTACATGATAAGTCACTTCTCTCTTGCTGCGTTTTTCACTTCCTCTTTCCCTCGGACTTTCAACAATTTGACTATATTGTGTCACAATGTCTGTATCGTGAGTTATCCTTTTTTGGGGTTCCTTAACCATCTCTAGTATGTGATCTCATCTAGTTTGGTAAGTTTTAAACCATTACGTTTTTATATCTTTTTTCATTGCATTTTTCTCTCTTCTATTTCAAGAACTTCCACACTGCATATGTTTGTGCACTGGATGGACTTCTGCATAATACTTTGCCTGGAGTCAGTATTCATCAATTTTTTTTCCCTTTCTACTTCCCAGTCTGAATAACTTCTTTTTTTTCTATCTTCATGTTTACTGATTCTTTCTTCTACCTGCTCAAATGTGATGAGGAGTCTCCCTTCTAAGTTATTGTTTTCAGTTCCTTTACTTCAGCTCCAGATTTTCTTCGACCCTGTTTAAATAATTTAACAGTGAGGAAGAACACATCTTTCTTGAGAAGCAGGTACTCCTCAGACCTGCCCAATATGGAGACAGCCAGCCTCCCACACTGGACTCCGGTGCTTTAGACATGGACCTTGATTATATAGCTACCCAGGTCAATCTCAGACAAGCACATTAGGAGTAGACAACCACAGCAGAGAAGAGGCTGGTTTTGGACCCTGAGAAGGAAGGCTCATCCCAAGGAGCTCTCAGATGGCCCGAATCGAAGAACTGGACATGTCCTCACGTTTGATGTATCCTCTACCCTCTCCAGGGGCTTCTCAGGTGGGGCTGGTGGTAAAGAACCAAAGAACCTGCCTGCCAGTGCTGATGCAGGAGACTAAGGGATGCAGGTTTGATCCCTGGGTCAGGAAGATCCCCTGGAGGAGGAAATGGCAACCCACTCCAGTATTCTTGCCTGGAGAATTCCATGGACAGAGGCACCAGTCCAAATGATCAGGAACCACAGACAAAGGTCATGCTGTTTGGTAGTCAGTCACTCCCTCTTAGAAATCCCATGAGCCTTCCAATCAGGGTACAAAGAGACCAAGTGATATGGGGACATGCATCCAATGGTCAGTGAATCGATGAGCAGAGTTTATGGATCACTGAGAAGATGATGCTGTCCCAGACAATCAACGGTGTCAGGACAGAGAATACAGGGTCCCACCTGTGTAGGGTCTCTTCCCAGTCATAGTCTGCAGATGTGACCCCAGCTCCACAGCTGAGCACTCTAAGTGACCCTCAACACCTCTACATTTTCCCTTGTCATTTCACTGGAAGTGGGTGTGTAATGAATGCAAATAATGAGGATGTAGTCTCCTTTCAGAGCCTGTAGAACAATGTGTTTAATTAATTATGCAGAACTTAGCTAATTTTGTCATAGTTTGGTTATTATTTGTGAGAGTTGTTTGACTGTAGGCAAGGCAGTGGATCTTGTGCCTCAGTTTCCCTGTCTGTAAAACTGGAGAAGAGCTGGATCTTAGGGCTGCTGTGAAGATGTTCACTAGGAAGTGAGTGAGATTAAAATTCTTCCCTGGGTACCTACACATAGTCAGCATGCAAGGTGATATCTTGGTTTTCAACGTTTTGGGTTTTAGCTCTAGAGTTAAACCAGTTGGTTACATTTTTGTTTCATCTGGTCCTAGTCCTACGACTTCCATTCCTTTATTGAAGCATGTGTGTCTCAAATCTATGAATGCACAGTGGGGATGACAACCCCTCCCTCGTGGGGATGGAAAGATCAGAACAAATGGGTGTGAAGGATTTCCCACTGTGCCGGTCCCACAGGAGAACCTGGAAACACTTCATTAATATTATTACTACTAATCAATGTTGAGTGGACTGGAGAGGAGCTATCCTCTAAGACCAGCAATTGTTATGGAAACAAAAAAACAGAGCGAGGGGAATAATGTGAGAAGAAAAGAGTCCTTCAAAGGAAAAGGAACAGGACATGGAAATGGCTACAGTGAGAGAATGGAGAGCTAGAGCAAGTCCAAGGTTTCAAATTTGATAAACAGTAAAATACTGCAAGCACGTGCAGTGGGAGAGTCAGAAGGAGACTGTGATGACAAAACACACAGACCTCAGAGCATTTCCTTCCTCCTAACCAGGACCTCCCCCTGTAAGACTCCTCGGGATATTCCCTGCAGTGAACTCGGACCCCACTTCCCCTCTGTCTTTCTCTCCTGCTTTCAGGGCAAGAAAACACCCAAGCGCTCAATGTGGAGACCATTGTTGGCATCGTGATTGGGCTCCTGCTTGTGCTGACACTGGTGGCTGCCCTGGGATGTTTCATTTTCCTTCACAGGTACAATGGCATTCCCAGATTCTGCTCCTGCCCCCAGGTGACCCTAGTCCTAGAGGAAGGACACTCCATCCTCCCATTCTCAGCCTGGATCTCCAGGACCTCCCCACTGCCCCGTGGATATTCTCTCTCATCCTTCAGTTCCTCCCTCACCAGGTATTGACCTGTGGCGGCTTCCTTAACACCGTCCTCATTTATTTTGTTATTTAGTCGTGAAGTTGTGTCCAGCTCCTTTGCCACACCATGGACTCCGCTGTCCATGGAATTTCCCAGGCAAGAATACTAGAGTGGGTTGCCATTTCCTTCTCCAGGGACTCTTCCTGACCCAGGTATCGAACCCACATCTCCTGCATTGGCAGGTGGATTCTTTACCTCTGAACCACCAGAGAAGCCTCATCTATCAGTTAACACAATTAAGACCCCTCCTTGTCCTAGTTCCCTATATGTAGGCTGGCAGGTTGTAAGTACTCAGAAAAAGGTATGTCTTCCCATATATTTAAATCCAGCTACTCTGATGGGAGGCTGTCACAGGGCCAGGATCTGAGGGTAGTCCTCACCAAGTCCACACCTGGCCAGAGAATGGAAGTCTGGACAGGCCAAGTGGGGTCAAATGCCCCCACGAGGCTGATGCATTAACAGCAGCCCCTGATGCATGAGACAGAACATCATGCCAGGTCAGCAGGAGGTGGGATGTCTTTACACTTAAGGTCCAGGTAGATGGAGACAGAGGACAAGGCCACTGTCACATTTCAGCATCTCCTGGATGAGGGCAGGTGGCTGCAGCAGCGACACTGCACTCAGTGAGATCCCAGAGTCACTGGCTTCCCCTTTCCTCCCCACGCACTGGCCCTGCTCTCTCCACAGGCGTGATGCATCCACTCAGACAAAGCTTTAGATGGATGGATGCCTTTCGCAGAGCCTTGGTCCCTTTGCTGGCCACATTCTCCTGAACCCTATTAGCCTGTGGTCCTGCCCCTCTGGACTCGGGGCAGATATGGCTTCTTAAGGACTTTCCTCATCTTCCTTGCTGGACCCTCCCCTCTAAGCATCCTTGGTGGAGAAAGGAGGTGTCCAGCCTCTGCTCGGACATAGGGATCCTCCTGTCCCATGTTCTGACAACAATGCCTTGACCTCCCTCTACACTCCTCACAAATTAGCCTGTTGCTTTTTTTTTTTCTCTAACCCTGGTTGCCGGCACCACAACAGAGGGAACTGGCTTCCAGCATCCACCTCAGGTGAGTGTCTGTTCAGCCCAGGACAGCGGGGAGCCCCAGTCAGGCCCTGCCACATCTCTTCCTGCCTGCCACCTCCAGGGTCTCTGGTCCTTTCTCTGGGGCTTCAGAACAGGGGACCCCTAATGCCTAGGCTGCTTGTCCTATGGCTTATAATCCTGGCAGGCCCCCTCGCCCTCACTGGGGCTTGAAATTGCCAGTGTCTCTCCCTTCATGGGGATCTTTCTCCCATAGTTCACCAGAAGGTGGACATCCAGCCTCTCCTCGGAGAATGGGCTAAGCTTCCTCACACGCCCAGTGCTAACTCCTATTTCTTCTCCCAGGACGTGGTCCCTCTGGCAGCTCTGTCTCCCAAGTAAGTACATCCCTTCCTTGTCTCTTCTCCCCAGCGTCCCCACTTCACAAGCTCGGGGCAGGGGGACTGTCCAACCCTGAAGCACTGTGAGACACCCTTCACTCGAGGGCAGTTGAAAATCGCTCAGTCGTGTCTGACTCACGTGGCCCCATGGACTGTAGACCGCCAGGCTCCTCTGTCCATGGATTTCTCCAGGCAAGAATACTGGAGTGGGTTACCATTGCCTTCTCCAGGGGATCTCCCTGACCCACGGATCGAGCCTGGGTCTCCCGCGTCGCAGGCAGATTCTTTGCCTTCTGAGCCACCAGGGAAGCTCACGAAAGTAGTTAGGACATGGCAAGTCCCACCAAGCTGGGAGCTGGATGTGCTTCAGGGGCATGACCACCCACCACCTTATCCTGAGGCTGCCCTGGTCCCCTGACTTGACCTCAGGAGAACCTTGCAGTCGAGCTAGGAAGAGAGTGGGCACGGGATCATCAGTCAGGGGAGCCAGGCTAACAAGGGTGGCAGTCAGAGCCCAGATAGGATTTGCGGTGGGGGCTGCAGGCTTGGAGATGGCTGCATGGGAGAAATGATTCTCCTTCCCTCTTTCCCTATGCCCATTCTCTCCCATGCCCAGGCCTCCCTACCTGATGCCAGATCACCAGTTCCCATCTACCAGGTGAGTGTGTGGATCCAAGGTCTGGTCCCATATCCCAAGGGGCTCAGGAAATGCCCCTTAAACACCTGGCTGTGCTTGGAGGTCCAAGAAATAGCAGGAAAGATGGAAAAGGGATGAAGAAGAGAGGAGTCTGGGCCAAAAACCTCTGATACAGCCAGACACCCCCCACAGAGCAGCCCTGGGGGACCTGAGGCCGGGAATCCCTGGTAAGCCATCTGAGACGGTTACATGAGCTCCGAGGCATCGGTTTTCTTTTGCAGGAATTACTACGCCCCGACACAGATGTCTACTGTCAAATCAACCACAAAGCAGATGTGGGTCATTAGTTCCTCCAGACACATCTCCTTACGGACTGTGGGAAAGAGCTTACCTGAGACCCAAGACCCGAGTGAGGTCAAGAGGTGGAGCCTGAGGCAGAGAACCAGCTCTGAGGCCTGAGGCTATTCGGGAACCTGGGTCCAGGCTCAGGGTCCTCCTGGATTCTTGGAGACCCTGACAGGCTGCCTTGAACCCTGAATGGACCAGAACTCAGACCTCAGTTCCCACGGTGGGGGGAGGTTTCAACAGGGCAAGAGACTGGCCTGTGACCCACGGACCAGCTGAGAGATCTGAATAAAGAGCACTTTCCTTCCCCTGCTTGCAAAATATACTGCCCTTGAGTCCTGTCCAGCAAGAAATTCACCTGAATGTCTGCTCCCGTTTCTCCATGGTCCCACAGGGAAAGTATTAGCTCTGGTTACCTGACCTCCCCATCTATTCCCTGCGGGAAAGCAAGGGGAAGGCTGTGAGAATGGAGGTGGGGGGCATGCTAACAGGAAAGGAGGGTCACCAGACCCTTCGCAGCCACACGGGCACTCGGCAGTCCTCACACTGCCCTGGGGTCCCAGACACCTCCCAGTGCTTGCTCACTTGGAATGGAGTCTCTGGAGCCCAGAATGTGGGACCACCTGAGACCCACTAGAACACGAGTCAGGAAGGAAGGACGAGTCACGTGTGAGACACATATTCTGGGTGAGGCCCCTGTGCAGCCTCTTGGCGTCCTGAGCGCTCTGGTCCTCCTCACCAGGCCCCGCTGGCCCCAACTGGTGGCTGCCTCCAATGAGCTTTGTTGTTCAGTTGCCAAGTTGTTTCTGACTCTTTGGGACCCCATGGACTGCAGCACCCCCAGGCTTCCCCATCCTTCACTATCCACTGGAGTTTGCTTCAACTAATCTGCACTGAGTTGGCGATTGGGCGGGAACTTTTGTCTGTCCACAGATCCAGGCTCCAGAATGCCTTCTCTATCTGTGGGTTTCTGTTGTTTCCCTCAGGGTCTGAGCCCTGAGGTCATCGTTCCCTCTGGGGGGACAGAGGAGCAATCAGAGTCACCGAAGTGGGAAGGACCCAGAAGCCATGCTCTGAGCAAGGCCCTCCCAGGAACTTCCCGTGACCTCTGTCCACTTCCTGTTGGTTTCCACTTTGTTCTCCAACGTGGATCATGAGGCTACCCACCCCCACCCGCCACGCGCACACACACACTCAAGCCTAAGGGCGGAGTTGTAGGGCTCTACCTAAAAATCAACCTGGCTACCACGGCAAAGGGCCCACCTGTCTCCTCCTCAAAGTGTCCCAAGGGCCTTTCCCACCTGCATCTCACCTGAAGCCCCCACCACACACCTGGGCTAACAGTTCTGTCTCTCCCTGAGGTCCCCGGGATAGGTGCTGTTCTCATATAGGTCTGCTCAGGTCTCCCCCCACACTCACACAAATATAGCAGGTGTGCGCACTAAGGCAGAGAGCCCACATTTGACAAGCATGCTCTGCCAGTGGCCAGTGTCATTTGTGCTGAGATGAGATGAGAAGTAAGAGAAACCACCTGCAAAGCTTCCAATCATGATTTAGGTCTGAATTACTCCTTATCCCCCACCCAGGCACACAGTCTTGGATTAGACAAAGTGACACCTCTTGACCTTCCTTATCATGCTATGACAAATGACCACAAATTTAGTGGCACAAATCTACCCAAACCTAGGTGTCAATATGACCCTGTTCTTTCTGGATTCTACAGACAGTTCATTTCCTTGCCTTTCCAAGCTGTGAGAGGCTGCCTGCTTTCCTGGGTTTGTGGCCCCTTCCTGCATCTTCAGTGCCGGCAATGGAACATCCTGACGCTCCCCCAAGCTCTCCTTCCATTATCGCATCTCCTCTGGCTCTGCCTCTCCTGCCTTCGTCTTGAATTTATAAAGAATATTATGAAAGTATTGGGCTCAGCCAGATATATTCCCCACCATAATCTCCAAGTCACGTGATCGAATGTCTTCTGTAGGTTTCCTTAATTGTGGGGCACATTCTCGGATTGTGGACTTGAGCTTGTGGACAGCTCTTAGGGTTCTGTGCTCTGTCTACCACTCCTCTCAAGGCCATGGTCATCATCTTCCCTCCCTGCAATGTGCCCTGGGCAGCTTGGGCTTTGTCATGCTGATGTGGGGGTCACGTCCTGCCATGACATCCAGAAAAATCTCACCGGCCCTAGGCCTGGAGATTGAGGCCAGTCCACACTCCCTGCAGCAATCCCCACCTCTTCTTTTCTGTGAAGTGAAACTGGCTCAGTCTGTCCAACTCTTTGCAACCCCATGGACTGTAACCCTCCAAACACATCTGCCATGGGAATCTCCAGGCAAGAATACTGGAGTGGGTATCCATTCCCTTCTCCGTAGGCTCATCAAACCCAGGTCTCCCGCATTGCAAGAAGATTCTTTACTATCTGAGCCACAGGAGAGCATCTTCTTCACTAGCAATGCCGACTTTTTCAGAATGAAAAGAAAGCAGATACGACTCAAAGATCCCAGCTCCCAATCCCTAGGTAGCCTGTGTTCATCAGGACCATGG